TGCAAAGAGTTCTTTCAGAATTGGTCCATAGGTTATAGTCCAAATTATATTCAGGGTGGTCCAGTCAGAGCTGGGATCTCAATCTTGTGGCATAAGCTTCCCCTGCATTGAAGCATCAAGCAGATCTGAGATCATAGAATCTCAGGGTTGGAAGGGACCTCAGGAGGTCATCTAGTCCAACCCCCCTGCTCAAAGCAGGACCAATCCCCAACTAAATCATCCCAGCCACGGCTTTGTCAAGCCTGACTTTAAAAACTTCTAAGGAAGGAGATACCACCACCTCCCTAGGTAACGCATTCCAGTGTTTCACCAGCCTCCTAGTGAAAAAGTTTTTCCTAATATCCAACCTAAACCTCCCCCACTGCAACTTGAGACCATTACTCCTCGTTCTGTCATCTACTGCCACTGAGAACAGTCTAGATCCATCTTCTTTGGACCCCTTTCAGTTAGTTGAAAGCAGCTATTAAATCCCCCCTCATTCTTCTCTTCTGCAGACTAAACAATCCCAGTTCCCTCAGCCTCTCCTCATAAGTCATGTGTTCCAGTCCCCTAATCATTTTTGTTGCCCTCCGCTGGACATTTTCCAATTTTTCCATATCCTCCTTGTAGTGTGGGGCCCAAAACTGGACACAGTACTCCAGATGAGGCCTCACCAATGTCGAATAGAAAGGAACAATCACGTCCCTTGATCTGCTGGCAATTCCTCTACTTATACATCCCAAAATGCCATTGGCCTTCTTGGGAGCAAGGGCACACTGTTGACTCATATCCAGCTTCTCGTCCACTATAACCCCTAGTTCTTTTTCTGGAGAACTGCTGCCTAGCCATTCGGTCCCTAGTCTGTAGCAGTGCATGGGATTCTTCCGTCCTAAGTGTAGGACTCTGCACTTGTCCTTGTTGAACCTCATCAGATTTCTTTTGGCCCAATCCTCTAATTTGTCTAGTTACCACTGTATGCTGTCCCTACCCTCCAGCGTATCTACCTCTCCTCCCAGTTTAGTGTCATCTGCAAACTTGCTGAGGGTGCAGTCCACACCATCCTCCAGATCATTAATGAAGATATTGAACGAAACCGGCCCCAGGACCGACATTTGGGGCACTCCACTTGATACCGGCTGCCAGCTAGACATGGAGCCATTGACCACTACCTGTTGAGCCCGACAATCTAGCCAGCTTTCTATCCACCTTATATTCCATTCATCCAGCCCATACTTCTTTCACTTACTGGCGAGAATACTGTGGGAGACCGTGTCAAAAGCTTTGCTAAAGTCAAGGAACAACACGTCTACTGCTTTCCCCTCATCCACAGAGCCACTTATCTCGTCATAGAAGGCAATTAGATTAGTCAGGCATGACTTGCCCTTGGTGAATCCATGCTGACTGTTCCTGATTACTTTCCTCTCCTGGTGGTTGGATCAGGCCCTAATTACCATTCACATACGTTCTAATATGTCTTTCATGGTCGGCTTTGGGTCATTTAGCCTGCAGGATGCTTAACCCTTTCTGGCCATGTGTCACGCTTTGTATAAGATTCTTTGCAATTACATAACAGTGGTAGCAACATTGATTTGCATGGTTATTTTTTAATTAGCCCACGTCACAATATGTTAAGGCCTAAACTACTTATTATCTCTTAAAATACGTAAATAAAAAAAATATGCTGACTCCGTAAGCCTCTATCAAAAACTTTGAGTTAAAGGCTGCTTTTCTATATAAATAATCAGGGGGAAACATCTGACTTTTGAGGTCAAGTTTTATAAATATGGCACAGTAGGTCAGCCTAAGTAATTTAGGAGGCCGTCTTATTTTCAAGAGACTGAAGTGTGACTAGAAATTTAAGCTCCAGTCACTTTCAGTTCAGCATATTTGAAAATTTTCCCAGGCTGACCTGAAATAATCAGTTTAATTAGCTGACTATAGTTAATCCCTCATTTAATAAATCATTTAGTTGTAATTGTGAAACATGTTTTGATAAGAGAAGTTTTTGTATCCAAAACCTTTTAAGGTTTTTTGTTTAATACAAATAAATCTTATACGCTGCTTTGTGTGTTTAATTAAATTCCAGTTACCATTCTAATGAAGCTTAATACAAATCATGTGCAAAAACTTAATTATCTAGTAAATAAGCAATATATCATTCAGCATTTTCTAACATACTAAAAATGTTTGCAGTGTTACTGTAGCTGTATTAGTCCAAGGAAATAAGAGAGACAAGGTGGGTGAGATGATATATTTTATTGGACCAACATCTTTTGGCAAAAGAGACAAGCTTTCGAGCTACACGGAGCTGAAGAAGAACTCTGTGTAGTTCAAAAGCTTGTCTCTTTCACCAACAGAAGTTCATACTAAAAATAAACAGTTAATAAGAATCTGAAAATATTAAACTATATGATTGCTTAAATAAATGTACATCTTTCTAGTGTACCCTCTTAGATAGCAAAAAGCTGCACTAAATCTAGTGTAAATGCTCTATTTAGTTACAACTCAACATGTTTAATGATTATATCAGCCAGTGAGAATGCACCTTTCTTTAGAGAATAACTAAAGTACAAATGGAAAAGTTGATTACGATTAATTATTTAAATTGAGACTTTCCACTTGGTGATTTAAATAATTAATTAAATCACTGATTTAAATAGCCTTGATTTAAATCAATGTACCCTACATTAATCCCTTGATAGCCCCTAAAGGAATTGCAGGTATTCTGGACCCCTTGGGTATGTCTACACTGCAGTTAGACACTCACGGCTGGCGTGTGGGTCTGCTGACTCAGGCTCACAGGGGTTAGACTGCAGGGCTGTTAAACTCCACTGTAGACATCCAGGCTTGGGGGCAGCCTCGGCTCCAGGACCTTGCAAGGTGGGAGGGTCTCAGAGCTCGGCATAGGCATCAGGTTCCACTGACACCTATGGCTACATGGTGCAGTGTGTTAACTTGAGACCGAATTCTGACTTGAGCTACACAGCTGCAACTCCCATTAACTTTGGGAGGGTTGCAAATGAGTATATTGAGGACAGAATTTGGCTTTACTTTTTACAATTATTCTGTACTGCTGTATCTCAAACTAAATAGTGTGAATAGCTCTATTGAACTTGAAAAGACTACTTGAGAAGGAAGAATGGTCTTAAAATTTGCTAAAAGGTGCTGCTAATAAAAATGCTTTGTACCCTTTTCATAAGACTAAATACAAAAATTGACAGAGTTTCAAGGACCCAATTCCCAGTGAAAGTCCTTTTTTTTTTTGGTAAATAGTTTTATTGGACTAAGTGACGTACATGTGACTATAAAGTAACATAAGCAGTGGTTCCAAATTTTTATATTCAGTTTGTTCCTTTTGATCATTTTCCGTAGGGGCATGTGCAATGAATTGTGATTAATTTCACTAAATAATTGGCCAGAAAAAAACCAGGTTACCCTGAAGGATAATACGTTTACTTACACAATGTGTTTTTGTAATGTCCTGTGTAATTTGACTTACAATTATACAATTATAATTCTCAACTATTAGTTGCTAGTACTTGGTATGGATTTGATTCAGCAAGGTAATAAGCATGTATTAACTTTAAACACATGAGTAATCCCACTGAAGTCAGTGGGGCCATTGATATGCTTACTTTCCTTGCTGACTCAAGGTCTATTTTGGCACTTCTCTGGTAATGTCGGGTTTTTTGTTGGTTTTTTTTTGTTCTTAACAGTATGGCTCTTTCCTAGATTTGTACATGTCTGTTTATAAATATTTTTTCTGTTTTCTCACGTAATTTCGTTGCTATTTCCCAATTTTTTCTGTTCTATGTAACTTTGGAATAACATTTAAGAATATTTTTGCAAATGTAAAACCAACGTGAAAGATCTCTATTAAAAACATACTGAAAGAACGAAATGCACCTTATTTTCAAGTGTTTTCCAGCAAAAGCGATCCAGGAATGGTATTGCTGTCTTGTTGGATTCTTCCTGCCATGTTTGTGAATGGGGGTTTGGGAACAGACAAGATTAAAGATTGAAAAGATGGCATAAGCAGATAAAAGCTTTAGTATTACTTTGTAGTCTCTGAGGCTTGTAAATTTTCTGGTTAGCTCACTGACTTTTTCATAAGAAGGTCTCCCTGTTACATTCCATTTAAAGGTTTAGCTACTATCCATTTTTCAGATACTGTACCTGTCCCCGTTTGCTGTCAGAGAGAAGAGATTAAGAGAAGATGTTGTCCCTAGTCTCTGTTTACCAGAAGCTGGGAATGAGTGACAGGGAATGGATCACTTGATGATTACCTGTTCTGTTCATTCCCTCTGGGGCACCTGGCATTGGCCACTGTCGGAAGACAGGCTACGGGGCTAGATGGACCTTTGGTCTGACCCATTAATGCCATTCTTATGTTCTTAAACACACCTTGTTGTATCTTGAGTATGTCTGAGTTCATCTACATCTTGCTCTGAATTTGGAAGCCGTAATTTAAATTAGAAATCTTCTTTTTTTCCTTTCATCCGATGAAGTGAGCTGTAGCTCACGAAAGCTCATGCTCAAATAAATTGGTTAGTCTCTAAGGTGCCACAAGTACTCCTTTTTTTTTCCTTTGTGTTCTCCCCTTCCTTTTCTCCACATTGGAATCTTTGTTTTCTCTCCCCTCCTTAAAATGGCAGCTGTTCAAGCAAGTTGCCTTTGGGGAAAAATGAGTGGCTTCCTGCAGATCTCTCACCCACACTTTCAGGTGAGTACGTGTTTTGATGGAAGTACCACAGAGTATGGTACATATTTCCCACTGGATTTGGGAATGATAATCTCAAGTTCAAACCTAGTTCTGTCCCTGTTAAACATGGTGTACTATTCCATTGCCACACCACGTGCGTGAACGCCACTTGTTTTTCTAAACTAATCATAGAACCTCTGTATCTTCCAGTGTCTGACGTGTTATTTCTTAAAACTGATTCTTTGTATGTGAAGTAAATTGTTCATGCCACAAATTAATGGTGCCAGTAATTGAAACACTGTGTCCTTTTTCTTTGTAGAACCAAAATCACAGTCTCATCCACCACATCAAGTGCAACACAGAGTGCTCAATATAGAGCAGAATGGCATAAAAGACTACACCCATCCAAGACATCTTCCTCGAAATGATACTAGACAGCCAAGAAATGAGAAACCCCCTCGTTTTCAAAGGGACATTCAGAATTCAAGACAGGTTTTGGAAAGTAGTGGCTTACCAAGAAACAGAGGTCCTGAAAAACACAGCTCTTTAGGACTAGAGCAGTGGACTGAGGATAAAAATAAGTGTGATAGACTTTATCCAAGGAATGATAGGCTAAAGGATATTGGTCATCCCTCAGCCATTCACCAGAGTGATGTTTCTTTTAGAAAGAGGGATAATACTATGCAAAACAGACTAGGAAAAGGGGCTGCATTCATGGAATTGAGAGAGAATTCCAGTGTTCAAGATACCATTGGTGATGATGATGATCAGAAACGAGGAAAAAAGGAAAACCAAATACATAATCCTGACAATTTTTATGACAGGAAAACACGAACAATAAGTAATGAAACTTTCAGTTTAAAAAATGAGCAACATTTTGGTATGAATAGTGACTACAAGAATCCTATTAGAACTGATAGTTTTAATGCTTTACCTAATGGAGACACTGAATATCCACAGAAAGGAAGACGAGTAGGACCTATTAAATCACCAGGACCCAATGTTGCTCCACCTTTTGAAGACAAAATGTTATATTATAACGCTGGTCCGAAAAGGAGATCTGGGCCCATCAAACCAGAAAAAATATTGGAACCGTCTATTCCTGTGGAGTATGGTAAAAGCTGGAGGCCCAGGGATGAATGTTTTGCTCTTTATTGGGAAGACAACAAGGTATGCCCCAGTCAAGTAGGAAATACTGTAAATTGTATCTTTAAAAACAAAAGGGATGGTGGCTTCAATGTGCTGCCACAAAGGGGGAGGGGAGAGAGAGAGAGAGAGCGTGTGTGTAATTTCTTATTTGAGCTAGTAACTTGTTACCTAGGGCCGCATACGTGAGGTACATGGCGTACTAAGTCTTGGGGAAGGGAAACGGAATTCCTTGCTGTCCAGAGTGATCTTTATGGTGAACAGATGACATTTTTGGTGCTAGCAGCAGCAGCAGCCTACAGCCCTTCTTAATATAGGTGAAGATCACATTGATCAGGGGAAATGGGCACCTCCCTGCTGTTTGATTTTTATACGTCACCAGGACATTGTTTATTAGCTGAAATATTTCTAGAATGGGTTAATTATTTGTGTCTATATTAAAAAACCAACAATTTTGTTGTCTTGACTTTAAAAGTATAAATATTCCCTTGTTTCATTTGAACTTTTTAATGTTTCCAATTCCTGCTACTTCTGATTGAGAAGAAATTTTCTTTTTTTTCCTCATTGTTATGGCCAGTTTACATTATTTTTTCCCAATTGTTAATCTCAATTGCTATTGCCATCCATCTTTTTTGGTTTCTTAATCTCTGCCCCCCAACCCTGAGTTTTTTGATAATCTGAAAAGAAAAATTACATTAATTTTTTGTGGGTTTTTATGTGGATTTTTTCATTGTTGGTCTAACAGCTAATATTTCTAATGATGTCATATGTCTGTTTTTTTATCAGGTGTGATTTGTATTATTTTAATATTTTAAGCAGTCATTCCGCTGTATAAATGTTCAAAGTGGGAACTGGCCAGGGCAGTTTTGGAAACTTTTACAATCATGAATTTTTTTCTTTTAAATAAAGAAGCAATTAAGGTTTTTTATTTTTAATCTGCCTCTTTGGCTTATATGACTCAAACAAATGGTCAGATGTTCACACACAAATGTTTGCCGTCATGAGGACAGGTTAATATAGGGGGTTGCATGTTTCAAATATGTGTGCATATTTGGAACTGGTTCATTTGCATCGTGTACACGAATTATGGATGGAATTTTTTGAGAAAAATAATTTAATCATTGTGTGATGCTTGAATTGCTGGGTTGTGGATAGTCAGGAACTCACAAAATGTGCTAAGCAAGAACGTAATTCATTGCTTCAGAGGAACAGCCGTGTTAGTCTGTATTCGCAAAAAGAAAAGGAGTACTTGTGGCACCTTAGAGACTAACCAATTTATTTGAGCATGAGCTTTCGTGAGCCGAAAGCTCATGCTCAAATAAATTGGTTAGTCTCTAAGGTGCCACAAGTACTCCTTTTCTTTTTGCGAATTCATTGCTTGTTACTGATGTAGTGTATCTTGGTGAAAATTAGCGACAAGAAATGTATTGATGCAGCAGATAGTCGTGGACTGATGTGTGCCTGTGCTTGTTTGGAAAGATCCTGTAGCCAGGTAGTCAAGTGCAGTGGTGGTTGTAATTACTATAGGAAATAATGATTTCTTCCTATTGAACTCTATAAAGAGTGATAGGATAGCCTCCAAAGATTTGTTTCAGTCTGGAGATTATCTGAACATAGATGCTTGATAGGGAGGATTAATTTATGTGAGCTGATTTGAACATATTTCAGCTTAGTTCTGTTTGGGAAAAGGCTGAGGTTAGTTTGGCTCACGGCTGCTCTAAATCCCCTTTAAGATCCTTGCAGAAATTAATTAGAAGTGTACTTGTTCAAACTTCTTGTTTTGTTAGAATTAGAAAAGTGAATCCCTACTCTCCTTCTATAAATCCTTCTAGAAAGATAAAATAGTTGTCATCTTGATACCACTTTTCTGTCTCTGATAATGCCACCAGGACTTCCCTGCATTTTAAACCCTAAATCACTTAGGCATTCTGTCGGTCTAGGAATGCTCACACATTTTTTGTAATAATCTGAATGTGTTCTGAATAAAAAGTCCAAATGAATTGTTAATTTTTAGCTCTGTCCACTGTCTATCTTTTTTCCATTGTGTAAAAATGTCCAGGTAATAAGGGACATGTAAATTTGCATTTGGTTTGAAACTGACATGAGTTTCTAGAATATGCATATTTGATACAAACATTTTTTGAAAATTTAATAAATTTTATAATAAATTGTTTAAAATATAATATTTTAAAATGTTACTGATTTTCTTGTAATATTTAATCCAATGTTTTATGACCTTTTGAAATTTCTCTTTAAGTTTTATAGAGCAGAAATTGAAGCTCTTCATTCTTCTGGAACAACTGCAGTTGTTAAATTCTGTGATTATGGAAACTATGAAGAGGTGCTACTAAGCAACATCAAGCCCATTCACGCAGAGGCATGGGTATGTGATAACAAATTGTATACAAAGATATAAACTACATTATTTGTATAAAATATGTAGCTTTAAACAGATGAGTCCTGCAGAGGGTGTAAATGTAAAAGCACTGTGTGGAAAAATACTTTAAAACTGAATAGATCTGCCTTAGTTATTTAAATAAACACCCTTAGATAATAGAAAAGAATCCTGTGGTATTATTTTTCATGTATAATAAAATTAAATTGTATTGTTTTGAAAATGAATACCATTATTTACTTGTTAGAGAAACAGTGATTTGTATATGCAAAATGGGCATTTTATGCATATTTTATTCTCTCTCAAGTTTGTGTTTACTCTATATATGGAATACCAAGTGATTGTCAAAATAAGATTTCTGATTCACAGACATGGCTATTGTTTTTTTTTTAACATGTAAAGATTAGGAAAAGAGCCTTTCAGATATACAAATATATTACAAACATTTTTATTATGTGTATATGTATAGGTAAAAAAATACAGATTTGTTTGTATCATGATTTTTCTTTTTTGTTTCACTTTTTTTCTTCTTTGCCAAATATCATGCCAAAATTGTGTGATTACAGAGATTCGCTTAGAACATATTGGCCTTATAGCATCTATTTTTTAAAAGGCTTTGGAAATATGCAGTCACCCAGTGTTCACTGCCAACTGTCTTTCATCTTGAGTTGTTACCTCTCATTCTGTGGACCTCCCTTGTGGAGTTTTTGTTTTGTTTGGCAACTCTACAGGAATCTGAAACGTTTTCTAGTTTCTGCATTAATTTTCCTATGAAGTCTCAATATCTTATTTCCACTGGTCGAACTGCTACTTACCACCTTTTGGGACACAGTTGTTTTGCAACTCTTGATATTTCAAAATCTTCCACTTGTAAGGCACCTCATTCCTTTCTCCCATCTTCTCTCTTTGAGTTTCACCACAGGCTGATAGTTGGTCTCAAAGTGCTTATGGAGAAACCCTGAGATTTCGCTATTTTGCTGCTTGGATATCCTTGCAGCTCTGAGTTTCTTGCACGAGAAAGCTATTTGCACTTTGCGCTTTACTTTTGTGTCCTGATGCTAGATCTAATTCTCATTTTAAATACATTCCTCTTCAACTTCTCAACACTTATTGGAATCTTGTTCTAATGCTAGTAGATATATTTTAAGTTATTTTGTGGTTTCTCTCTCTCAGTATTCATACATTAACCAATGTAAGAGTGACTTAGGCAACATATACAGCAATTCAAAGTGAAGTTCTAAAGTCTTGTGGTTCACCATAAGATTTGAGACTTTCTGGGGCTTGATCAGTATGATCCAGTTTATAGCTGTCTCCAAATTGACTGCAGGGATTCCTTTCATTCAGTCATTTTCTATTGTCAACAAGAGTGGCTATGCTCCATCCTTTAGAGGGATTCTCTATGTTTGACCCTAGTCTTTCCACATAATACTGGTCCTTGATAATCTATATTGAAGATGTGCTGTTACCTACACACAGGCATCTTCTTTGTCCCATACTTCAGCTCTGGTTCTGTAATACTGCTTGGTTCCCCACATTGTATTTAAAAGCATCCTTTGAAGCAAGTGTCGGTGCTGATAGGAGGAGCTTTAATGATTTAACTCTATAGTCTATGCTGCAATAAAACCACGAAGCATATTCAATCTATTTTTCAGATTCCTTGTGACTGTTTTCTCCAAAACACTTTTTTGGTGCTTAGAAACTGAATCACACCTAAAATTTCTCAACATACATCAAAATAGAGAAAGTACTTCTCTGCAGGAGGAGGATGCAAAAATATTATGTATGTCAGCAGCAAAGTAAGAAACACTGAACTGAAGGCATATGAAAATCCAGTTTAACCACTGTGTTGTTCTGTTTCTTTTGGCTGACATCCTCTGTGACCACACCCAAATGATGCTGAGATACTGCTTTCCCCATTAGCATAACTATCAAACTGCTTACTGTAGAAGTGTAGTGATTCTTGGTGTTATCAATAAGAAAAAGATTTTTCATTGTCAATATAGATATAGGACTGGACTGCTTTAGTGAAAGAATCTTCTCTCTTTGCTGGGATGTAGATCCCATCTGCCTGATATTTCTGGGATCCCCTTTTAATTTCCGCCTCATCTGAAGAAGTTAATGCAAGATGATCTGAAGGTTCCTAGAGCTATACATTACATGTGGAAATCTGTTGCTGCAGAGTGATAGTCCTGCTGTAGCGTTCTTCCATTATCTCATTTTCTTTGGATCCTGGTATGTTTCTTTTAAAAAAACCTCTCTGACAGCAAACATACTGATTGCTAGAAATATAGAAAACCAGACCATTGGCATTAGTATACCAAATGTTACAAATCTAGCTCTGATAGGTTACACAAGGTAAATAAAAAGGCTACTGAGTATTGGTTTTTTTAAAGACCCCATTAACAACTATCATTGTACTTGTCATGCAAAAATAATAAATCTTTATAGTTTTGCTTAGTTCTTGTAATATATGTATAAAAGCCCTGCAATCTGACTGTTTTTAATTAAATTTTTTTTTTTTTACTTTACATTATTTAAGAATTCTTTTAGTGGTCATCTCCTACACAAGGTTTTGAAAATGTACCCCCTTGTTTCCCTAAAGGTAGCAGTGATCACTTAATGAAAATGTTATATTCCTGACAAAAAACACACCAAAAAAGCCTTTGTAGAAATAACAATTGCTTGTTTTTCTATTATAAGATGTAAAGTTATACTAGCAAACTGAAAAGCATGAAATGTTAAGGGGCTTCATGACTAAATTAATAGTCTGTTGTGTGGAAAAATAAAATAAAGTGAAGATAATACTTTAAACCTAAAGTGTTAATTTTTTCCTCAAAGTTCTAGGTTTATTTTTTCTTATTAATTACTACTGGTTTTCTTTCTAGCATAAGTGTTTACTCGGTCACTTCACTATGAAGATCATTTATTTATTTTCTCCTTTTCCTTCCTGTCATCCTTGGGTAATAATCTGATAGGGTTTGCTCCTGGATCTACAGATAGAGTTTTAGGTTGTGGTTATAACTGCTTTTTTCCTGTAATGTAAAGAAAGGCAACACTATGTCTTCCCCCACCTCCACACATGGTAATCTCATTCTGGTGTTTCTAGAGTCCAACTAGGATTAGGTTCATAGGAGCTTGTCTCAGTGCCTCTTTACTTAAATAATAGTGATTATAAAATAAAGTCTATAGTTTGTTTGTTGTTAGTCTCTTCTTCCTGAATCCCACCGTACAATTCTGCATAGAGAGCAGTGTCTCCTAACCATGAGGCAAGGAGGTGTAAAGAACTGTCAATCAAGATAAGTATAATGATGCTTTCTCCACACTCTGTGGCTTTGTGAGGCATGGAATCCATTCATCAGGTAATTTCTTGTTTTGGACTATCCAGTATGGGGAGGTTGCAGAAGGGAAAGGTAAAAAGAGAGGAGTCTAAGGCTCCAGCTGCATTATTCTTGCTAGCATAAGTACTTCTTTTGGAGCAGGGTAGCAATCTTAATTCTAGGTGGTCTTGCTTCCAGCTTTCTGTCTCCTTCCTCACAGACTTGTAGGCACTTTAAAAGTTCTGACCCTTTCTTAAAGCAGACTGTATCTTTGGCCCTCTCCCACAACAGTTTCTAGTGCCGGGTAAGTAAAAGAAATTTAGGGCCCTTCTCCAGCAACGTTCCTTCGTTGGAGTAATGCAACGGACAGGGCTTTCAGCTACCTCTTCTACCTACACTCAGTCATGCAGTTGTGTCTTGGCTGGAGAAAACTTTTGCTGCAGGGTCTGAAAATCAGTCATTCTAGGGCGCAGGGCAACTCTTCCAACCCCCCCCCCCTCCGCGACTCTTGATTTATAGCGACTATAGATTACTTGAAAGATCTGATTTTCTCTTTGTGCACTAACGTATTTAATGCCCTAGCACAGAGGTGGCAGACTACAGCCGGCGGGCCACATATAGCCTGCGGGACCATCCTGCCCGTCCACTGAGCCCCCGGTCTGGGAGGCTAGCCCCCGGTCCCGCCCCTGCTGTCCCCCTTCCCCTGCAGCCTCAGCTCACTGCGCCCCTGGCTCTGTGCTGTGTGGTGGTGTGGCTGGCTCCAGCCAGGCGGCACGGCTGCCTGTCCTGGTGCTCTGGGCGGCGCGGTAAGAGGGCAGGGAGCAGGGCGGTTGGATAGAGGGCAGTGGAGTTTGGGGTGGTGGTCAGGGGGCAAGGGTGTGGATAGGCGGTCAGAGGGCAGGGAACAGGGGGCGTCGAATGGGGGCAGTCAGGGAGAAGGGGTGGTTGGATGGGGCAGGGGTCCTGAGGGGGCAGTCGGGAATGAGAGGAGGGGTTGGATGGGGCGCTGGGGGACAGTCAGGGGTTGGGGGTCCGGGGCTGTCAGGGGACAGTCAGGGGTTGGGGGGACTGTCAGGGGACAGGGAACAGGCGGGGTTGGATGGGGCAGGAGTCCCGGGGGGGCTGTTAGGAGGTGAGAAGCAGCGGGGGTCTGATAGGGGGCGGGGGCCGGGCCACGCCTGGATGTTTGGGGAGGCACAACCTCCCTTAACCAGCCCTCCATACAATTTCAGAAACCCAGTGTGGCCCTCAGGCCAAAAAGTTTGCCCGCCCCTGCCCTAGCATCACACCACACTGCTTTCACAGCTTACATTTAGGCAGCAAGCCTCCCCGTTGTTAATATTTAGGCAGACAGAATGAATATGACTGAGACAACTTTATTGTTATTCTCTAATCTAACTACTGATGGCTTCTTGCTTATCACCTTGTTTGTCTAGCCTCCTAAAAATGAGGCAGCCAAGTAAGGTTCTTCTAACATACTGTTTCTCAAACTGAGGGCCCCAACCCAAAAGGGAGTCGGAAGACTATTATAGGGGGGTCATGAGTGCAGTGGCTGCTGGCCAGGCGCCTAGCTCTGAAGGCAGTGCTGCCGCCAGCAGCAGCGCAGAAGTAAGGTATGGTATGGAGGTGGGTCTTCACGGTCTGAAATATTTTCAAAGAGGGTCCCAGCAA